TGATTGGTGCGGTCACACTTCCTGATTTGAAAACTTACAAAGATACAATAATCACAATACTGTTACTGAGATGGATATATAAATGAGGGAACCACAGTTGAAGTTCCAGATGTAAACCCATAGATCTCTGACCAAATTATTTTTTTAACAAAGGTATCTGGTTGAACAAATGTGGAAACAATAATATATTCAGTATCTAATGCTAGAACACCGGGATTTCCCCATCACAACTAAAGTTAGACTTCTACAACACAGTGAATACAAAAATGTACTTAAAGTGAGTCAACCACTCAAGTATAAGAGATGAAAGTATAAACTCTAAACGGAAAACACAGGGCAACTCTTTATGTCTTTTGATTGGCCAGACAGATGCAAATAAATGAATGTCCAATACAAATAAGAACTAATGCTCAAGATTGTTATTGAGGAACCACAAATTAAATAAAAAGAAATGCTATCATGTGCCCTATAACATCATTTTAGGATATACTGGAGATAACATCATGGATCCTTCAGATGACATTCACTGAGATCTTTCTCTTAATTTGAGTACATACACATTATGACGCTATTACAACACCTCACTTGCTATGGCATTTCTTAGAACATATTAAGTGATTCCTGACTGTATCGCATATCTAACAGAACAAAAGCAAAATTGTTCCTCAGCCTTTTGTCTTGGATCAGTGAAGAACAAAAATAAAACTTTTAAAAAGTACAGACTAAAGATATGGAACCCTAACACTCTCATACTTTACTAAGGGAATGCAAAGTGGTATACCTGTGGTGAAAATCCACTGGGTGTTTCATTAAAAAACTTTTTGAAAACTCAAAACTAAAATTACCATATCAGCTAGCAATCCTGTATCTAAATTTAAACCTATAAAACCAAAAACTGAAACTCAAAGCATGCATTCAAGTTAACTTGCTCACTGCAACACGTTTCTGGTGAAAAAACACATTTCCATCCAAAGATGAATAATTAAAATAAGTTTTACACACAGGAATATCTATATACCTATATGTCTACATAACCAAGAAATGGTTTTCACCCATAAAAAAGAAATAAAATTCTGTCATATGATTCAACATGGATAACCTTAAATATTTTGTGACAAATATAGTAAGAACAAGTATAATATGATTCTATTTTATGAAATGTGTAGAATGAGCAGATTAATAGCAAAATAAGTTGTGAATGTATCAAGGTCGAGGGAGGGAAGAAATTAATATTATCATCACAAAGGTAAAGTTTGTTTTAAGGTGATGAAAAAGTTTTAAACATAGATTTGCTTGTAATTTTTTTGAAACAGTGACCATTGCACACGATGAATGTATTCATGCTCCTGTATGCGTACTTTTAAAAGTTCAGATGTTGCATTTTATTATACATATTGTAGTAAAAATACTTTTAAAAACTGTAAAAATTTAGTGTCGATAACTTCAGTATATATTACAAGGTTATATTAAATAAAACATTCATTTCCAGAGATATTTTTCCTTTGGTTGTACATAATGTAGTTTGTATTCATTGTATTTCTAAATAATTTAATACTCTTGACAAACACCTATGCACACAGAAATATTTAATAAGCTACTTAAGAAATGTCAGTATAAGTATGTGGAGAAATAAAAAGGAAACAAGTTGAATACATTCCACAGATAAATAAAGTAAAAATAAGCAATCAGAGTTTAGGAATATATTTAGAAATAAAAATTATCATAAAACATTCTGTGTGTATGATATGAGGTATTCCATGATACAAATGAGGTATTCCTCATTGACAAAATGAGGCACAATCTGCATTACTAGATTTTAAATAAAAGAATAATGAAAATTGAGTTTTATTTGATTTATTTGATTTGGTTTGGTACCAGAAATTGAAATCACAACCTTTCACTTGGCAGTTAGGTCCTATGTCACTGAAACTATTTCCCTGGTTCAAGTTTTATTTTTATATGTAAGTCTTTTTTTTTTTTTTCCGGTATTTTAGGAAAGGGCCTACAGGGTGTTCAGGGACTCACTACTAGATCAGACTCAGAGTGATCTGCCTGTTTACAGCCTCCCCAGAGCTGGGATTACAGGCGCGTGCCACCATGCCCAATCTCTATTGCCCTCTCAGTGTGTCCCTGGGGGCAGGGCTGACAAGATTGAAGCCCCAGCCCCTGTGCCTGCTTGCAAGCGTTTTAATCTGCTGAACTATTTGGCCGGCCCTTAAGTCATTTTTGTCAAATAACAGCATTTTATTAGCAATCCTCAGTTCTGCAGGTCATTATGGATTTTAAATATAGTAACTGTAGATTTGCTAAACATGAATTAAACTTTCAATCTAAATTAGAACTTAACATGTTCTATTTATTGGGATTTTGCACTCCATTTTATTTGGATTTCTCCTCTGTGAGCTTGATATGCTTTATAATACACAAGAAGGTATTATGTATGTACAATTATAAGTACGCATAGGTCTTAAATATACTTTTCAATCAGCTAAATTAACTTCACGTTTTTCCAGTGTATAAGATAACAGGAAACAATATGAATGTCTTCAAATTATATTCATTCATATTTTGGCTGAGAGTTCTTGGCCTTCACAGCATCATTCTGATATGCCTATCTGCTCATCTCAAATTATGAGGTACCACTTACCTTAAAAATATTATTTTGTTACTCTCACATAGAACTTGCTTTAGTGGATGATCACTAGTCCCATTTAACTACACCTATCTGCTTATGGTTCGCTAACTTCCCAAAATATATCATTTCACTGAAATAATTGATTATTGACCATCTTAGAATCATAGATGCTTCCTTTTCCTGACCAGCGACATTTTGAAAAAAATAATGCATACATTATGAGTGCCCAGTATTGAATTTAAGGTGGAATGGATGCAAAATGGAAGATTCAGATTGAGTACTAAGAGATTCAGAGGTGAAGACTTAAAGACTAAGCTTGATTTCAGTCTCACACACTAAAAGTTCTGTTCTATGGACAGACATGCGCGAATATTTTAAAATAAATTAGATGACAAATGGGGCTATCACTGACAAGGCTTTGTCATTGAAGAAAATGAAACTCCATCCCGAGGAAGTGAGGAAGCGGGGAAAATGGAAATATAATAGGGTCACGTCCTCAAAGGAAAGCTAGTAAGTTACCCAAGAAAGGCCATAAAATGTAACATTGTGCTAAGATCCAAAAAATCCATTTTTATTTGGGACAACATACATTTTAGCAATTAATCTGTATGCAAGGAGAATTGTGTAAGGAATGCTCAGCTTTCGCTGGTCTCCCTTTAATCAATTAAATCCTTATATTTGGAAATATGGATTGTTCAGGGCATAAGTGTTACTCAGACACAGATAACTAGATAGATTTCCAGGGTCACAAACCAACTTCAATATCGCTACTCAAAACTCTTCTTTCTGTTTTAATCCTGCGTTTTATGAGGGTGTGTATATGTCTATTCTTCTTGTTGCTGTCCTTGCTATTGTTGTGCTTAAGGTCAAGGTTTACCAGCTTCTGAGCATGACTATTGATGACGTTCTATAACCCCCAAAAGCTTACACTGTTGTTAATTTTAGATTAAGAATTTCTAACTGTTTAACTTAAAATATTAAGAGAATTTTTCAGTTTAAATCATTCAAAAATTAATCTAATTATATTTTTAATAATCACTATAAGCATCATCAAGAAATAAAGTTGAATCTTTAAGTTTTTGATAATCTGAATTCTGTTGGTAATAAACTTGCTAAATACACTTTATGTCAAGTTCTGTGATAAATTCCTGTGGATTGCCAATATTATTATTATTATTATTATTATTATTATTGTTGTTATTATTATTAAATTTATGTATTTGTACAGGGCCTCACTATGCATCTCCAAATCATAATGATCCTCCTGTTTTCAGCCTCCCCAGTACTGTGATCACAGGCGTGCTCCACCACACCTGGATTTGATGGCCAATTCCGTTGCCCCAGTGGCAGGGCTAGTGTGGCATGTGGTGCTGGGGATTGAACCCCAGTTCCTGCACTTGCCTAAGCAGGTGCTTAGTCCACTGACCTATCTCACCAGCCTTCTTCTGCCAAAATTTATGATAACTTGGTGAGATTGTCTAGTTGTCCCTCTAAAGCCTCTTGAGGTCACCGGGGCAGGCTTCTAGAGTTTGTGATTGATTCATGATTGCATGCTGGGATTAGGGATGTGAGTGCTATACCTGCCCCAGGGCAGATAATCTTCTGCTCCTCCTTTTGCATTTTGCTTTTTTTTCCTCTGCCATGAACTGCTGCCCTCTTCCATGTGCCATTCTGCATTGGATCCAGCTGAAGAGGGACTGAAACTTCCATGAATTATGAGCTAAATTACCCTTTCTTCTTTAATTTTGGTTGTCAGTTTTTTTGTCCCAGCAATGAGAGAAAAGTAAGACGGAGTGGATAACAGAATTGTTTCAAACCAAACCACACTCTAAAATGCTAAGCTTTTCTATTGCCTCCCTATGACTGGCTTGGTATTTACTAGCCATCAAAGATATCTCAGTTCCATATCACTTGGCATTAAATCAGATGGTTGTTATTCTTTATTTATCCTGAATTTCTGTAAAATTAGAGAAATGGACACTTAAAGGACACATAGGACCTGAAATTATTAATGTCATATTCACCCTAGTTCTCTAGAAAAATAATGAATTTGGATTAAGTATAATACACCTATCTTGTCCTTTTCTGAAGTTATTCTATGAGGAGACAGCATTCATTGTCTTTTTGCTTGTTTTGTTTTGTATTTTACTTACATGAGGCATGAAGTTAATACAAATTTGTTTAAATGGCTGTATGCTATTCCACAGAGGCAGGTTCACCTTGTCACAGATTAAATATGCTATTCTAATATCCCAAAGCAATCTGTGATCCTGCAGAATTTTGTGCCGCATTCAATTGCACTTTTATTACTCCATTCAGACTTGAGGCAATAGACATTTCCACAAATAAAACAATGTGCAAATTCTGTCATAGTAAAACATTTATTTGTTAAAGTGATATAGATTATTCAAGATTCTACAGTCTGTTAAGTAATGGATGGCAATGTAAGATGGATTGATACAGAACTTGATACCAATGTAATTTTTTTTTAATTTTCTTCTTAAAAAAAATACTTGTAGGCCAGAAGAAAAAAAAATTGGTTTTCAAAGGGAATGAACCATTGTCTGAAGGAGCCAGTTTTGCTGGCCACGGTAACTTCGGGTTCCACGTCGGCTCCTCTGGACAGCTCTTGTAGGACACAGTTCAACGTTAGCCTTTGTGAACTGCAACACTGTTTAATTTTATCCAGTAAAAATATCAGTGGCAACTTTTTTCAGGAGAGAGAGAAGTGGTGCTCTTCAGATTAACTCCAGCCTCTGAAACGAAAGGAAAAGAAAAGAGGGTGGGGGAGAAAACACACAGCTAATAAATCATTGTGTTTGAAATCTAAAGGCTAACGAACTGTTAGTAGGCAGGCAGCAACTTACCACCATAAAATACAAGACACTGGCTCAAGCAGTGTCTGCACATGAACATCACTATTCAAGATACTCATTGGCATCATGTAAATATATATATATATATATATATATATATATATATATATATATATATATATTCATACATATTATATGAATTTCCTTACAGAGTGAATATATAAAACAATTTTAAAAGGAAGTTATGAGTATTATGTAACAGTTATATGTGTCAAACCCAAATTGTGGAAGGGCATTTTTCCTTGCTGTAATTTCCATATATATATTCTCAAAGTGTCACAATACATTATTTTTAATGATACTTTTTTATGTTTTAATAAACACATTTTTTAAAAAATTAAATTAAAAATTAAACTACTAGATAAAATTTACTCAACAATTCTTAAACCTAAATGATCTTTTTTTAAACTGTGCTGAGACTTGTGAATGATAACATTTTATTATGCAGTTAGTGTTACGGAAAATACTATTTAGATTCTTTAATTAAATTTGCTTTACCCACAGAGCAAACAATAAATGTGAAAACTTCTTAACCTTCACAGTCAAAAGCAACACCAACGATGTTAAAATGTCAAACTATGAGTACATTTCCCCCACAATATGGTGCTTAGTCTTCATGGATTTAGGTTATGTCTTTAAATTCCATCCTTGACGAAGAAAGAAAATTAGTCCCAGAAATACCTGAAATAGAAACAAGTGTATTTTTTCCTTTCTTTTAAAAAATAACTTAGTGTTTACATTTGTCCCACTTAGACGTTGTCACTCACATTCCACAACCACATTTTTCTCATAATGAATTTCCAGTTTTCTGAAAATTCTAAACTAAAGTTATACAGGATGCATTCAGATCACTATGCAAGAATTTATTAAAATACAGTAGACTATTTTGATCACTTTATGAGATAAAGGCGGGTGAAATACTGTAGAGATCTCTTAGTGAAGAAAAACGTAAAGAAGTGACATTACCTTGGGCACTGACAATTTTTGAGAATAAGAGATGTGCCTACTCTAACAAGATGTCTAAGAGACAAATGTATAGCCTGTTCAGAAAACAAAATGACTATCTTGGAAACTGACAAAATATACATTATCACTATTTTACTTTACCTGATATGTATAACCAAAATTATTGTAAAATTCCTCTCAAAATATCATATATATATATAACTAAATTCTTCTTTATTGGATTCATAGCATAGTTTATGTTAGTGAAACTGGATAACAATTTTTATATGTTTTCTATATTCAATAACATAGCCTCTTTTGTAGGCATTAAAATAAAATCACAACGAGGTGTCTTGGCACACTCTTGTAATTCCAGCAGTCAGGGAAATTGAGGCAGGAGGATTGCAAGTTATAGTCCAGTCTAGGTGATTTATGAATTTAATAAGAACTTGTAGGAAATTAAAAACAATAATAATACTTAAAAACAGGCTGGAGAAACAGCTCAGTGCAACATTCTGTATTTACTCCCCAGTACCACAAGAACATTATAAGAAACTTCAAATTGCAAGATGTTCCAGTAAAGCTAATGACTAAATGTAAAACTAAAGAAAAGAAAAACTAAAGTCAATTTACATAGCATGATTTTCCAAGTAGTAATCCTTCTTCCCAGGATAACAAACTCCCCTCGTTAGAAATTTCAGAAGACAACAGATATAGAAACATAAGTGGAGTTTCTGCCTGAACTTCACCTTGAATAATAACATTATTAGCAACGTTAATGATTGTAGATTAAGAAAAAGCTATTTTTTTAAAAAAGAAAAAAGGAAATCATGAAGGACACTTACCTTTCCTGACGCTAATTGTTTATTGAAATGATGGCAAAATTTAGAGTCAAATAAAAACTGATGCTAATCAGCATACACAAAATACAATTTCAACTTGCTTATCAATAAGAAAACCTTAGAACAGTCCCCCATAAGCATAAACATTGAACACAGTAATAGGATTGTACCACAAAGAAAAAATGAGAGTAATGATACTCATGATAATAATGATAAGAATTTAAAATAATCACCTAGGGGTAAATTTGGACTATTTCAATAATGATCCTTATTTAAAACCAAAATCAGAACAAGGAAAACATCTACGGGCTAATGCATTTCTTAACAAACTGAAAACTAAAAAGTAATGTAAGTGTCCCCGACTTTTAGAGAAGCGAGATAACCTGACATTCAAGGCACTGTGTGAAAACCCTTATCACTGGTTTTCTTCTGTTTGTAATTAAAACTTCTCAGGATTTTGATCTTGAGTAGCTAGGATGTCACAACACAAAGAAGATGGTTTTTAAAAGCTGCTGCTTAAACTAAGGATTTTTATTTTCATTATCCTAACTTGGTATAAAGTTCTAACAAAAATGTGAAAATATGCTTTAGTTATTAAAAAAATAGCTAAATGTTTTCTATGAGTGCACCTATCTTAATACTCTTTAATTTTTTTATGTATTTAGTACAGGGATTACGGGGTCTCACTACACAGATCAGACTCTAGTGATCCTCCTGTTTTTAGCCTCCCAAGCATTCGGATTATAGGGGAGAGCCACCACACCCAGTCTCAATTTCCATCTCAATGCACCCCGGAGGTATGGCGGGCACAATACTGTTTAATTAAATTTAATTAATTGATTAATTAATTAATTTATTTATTTATTGCAGAACCGGGGATTGAACTCAGGCCCTTGAGCTTGCCAGGGAAGCACTTATTCCACTGAGCCATCTCCCTAGCCCCTGTTTAATTAAATTTAAATTAATTTAATTTTCATAAGGGAAATTCCTGCAGAAGCAAATAGGTTGTATTGAGCTTAACTGGAAACATTTAATGTACAGGTAACCAGCCCTTATCTGAAAACCCTAGGGAAGAAATGTTACAGATTAAGGTTTGTTCTAGAATGTGAAAATTTCCATGTTTGTAATTTATAGAGTGCCTAAGAGCTGGGACAAGCATAGGCACACATTTTATTTATGTTTCTTACATGTCTGGTCCACAGGGCCTGAGGGTAATGGTGTATGATATTTTTTAGTGTTCCTGTATCTTGTTTGTGACCAAACCAATGATCCGACACCAAAATTCTAGTCCAGTGATCAATTTATTTATTTTTATTTATTTATTTATTTATTTATTTATTTATTTATTTTTTTTGCGGAACTGGGGATTGAAGTCAGACCCTTGCACTTGCAAGGGAAGTGCTTATTCTACTGAGCCATCTCCCCAGCTCCTCCAGTGATCAATGTGGTGGTCAAAATGATTCATATCTTAGAAGTGGTAGGGTTTTTTGGTTAGGTGTCCTCAACGTCCATATTCACAATATGTATTAAGATTTGCTTTGCAATTTGGTTCTTCTTTCATAAACATCCACAAACCTATATGTTTCTTTAGTTGTGAAAATATAGCAATTTATTTATACCTTTACTGAGAGTGTATTGATCAGAAAACTAATATTTTCTTTAAATAACTGCACTCATTACATGATTAGAATAGCTGTAACAGATATTCTGAAACAAAGACTAAATTTTAAAAATGTCTTGGGCCAGCCAAGTAGTTCAGCAGATTAAAGTGCCTGCTTCTAGTAGTGAGACCCTGAACACCCTTCTCTAAAAAAATACAAAAAAATAGTTAATTAAATAAAAATAACAATGTCTTGACACTAAACAGCAATATTGCAAGTTAAATTTATTTTAAGGAAATATTTGAAGCCTAGCATAATTAATTATAAACTACGTCTTAATTCTTATGCACACATACACACATCAACACACTCATGGATAATACATACATATTTTTGTTTGAACACAGTAAATATTTCTTAAGAAATTTTACTAAAACCTCCTTTTAGTTTATTTATTTATTTATTTTTGTGGAACTGGGGATTGAACTCAGGCCCTTGCGCTTGCCAGGGAAGTGCATATTCCACTGAGCCATCTCCCCAACCCACCTCTTTTCAGTTTAAATGCAAACTCTAATCTTTGCCTTGAACTTTAACTCCCATTATTTTCCTGGGTTCATGATGATGGTCTAAAATCCTTGCCAAAGCAGCGTTAACTTATATGTGCCAATTTGCCAAGAGAATAATTCTCACCTTTTTTATCAAGGACTCCTCTAGCCCTTGTTCTTGAGGTCTCTTAGTATGATTAAAATCTTATGGTTTTTGTTTCAGTGTGCAAGATATATTGAAAAATTTCAAACTCACTGTATTTTCATACAAGACAATCAGCCAAGGAAATATTTGGGAAATGGAAATGAAATCGCTTTGTTTTTTTTTTTTGTTTTTTTTTTTTTTTTAGTTCTATATATTTAGAGGGCTACAGACTATACAGAGCTCAGAAGCTGTAGACTACCAGCTCTCCTGAGCTACAAGGCTCAAAAGTAAAGTGCCCCGCTGACCATGAAAAAGACTATGACAGGGTCAGCCAAATAGCTAAACGGATTAAAACTCCTTAAAGCAGGCACAGGGGCCTGCCCTGCCAGCCCCACCCTCAGGGCAACTGAGTCTGGGCGTGGTGGCACATGTCCATAATCCCAGCTCTTGGGAGGCTGTAAACAGGCAGATCCCTAGGAGTCGGATCTAGTAACGAGACCCTGAACACCCTGTAGACCCTTCCTTAAAATACAAACAACAACAACAACAAAAAGACTATGAGAAGAAAGGGGCGTATCAGTCACCATCTCTTCAGAAGGGAGGTCGCCACTTGGTCTTGCTGACGGCTGTAGAAATGTGAGGTCTGCTGCAGCACAAATTATTACTGAGCATTAAGAGTATCATGTGGCAACTCAGACCTGACACCAGAAATGCGGTGAAAGCTGGCTAAAGAGAGTAATCAACACGAGGTTGTATTACAGTTCATTTTTCTGGGGATTTGCTTTTCTTTGTAATGTTTAGAGAAAGAAAAGAAAATTAGAAAATTATGAAAGATTTCTATAATTTTAGCTAGTAATTCATTTTATTAAAACAAACAAAAGGCTTGGCATAAAGTTTTTTAAAAAGACAATATTCTATATAGTTTTGTACATTCATTAGGTTCATGTACTATAAACACTCATTCATGAACATACTACGTAAGAAAAGAACTTAAAGTGGAATGATGATTAGGTTCTAAGCTGTGAATAATTCATATGTTGGTAGTAGATTATGATTGATTGAAATTTATTGTCTTTTTCTGGACATTTAAATTTTAAATAATTAATGCTAATTACTTGGGATAGATGCTATTACCAAAATGCTACATATTTATTGTGTTTGTAAATAACTAAGCTATTTTTAATAATAGACAGACACTCAAGAGTGCAAAGGCTTATTTTTCTCTAAATTTCAAATTCTACTAATATAGTAAAGTAAGTGGATGAGCTCATTAATATACATTGTGTCCCAGTAAATATGACTGAAATTCATATAGGGACAATGTAACAGGAATCACTGACATCGATTTTTCTTCCAAACGTTAATCTTATACTCAGCATCACTGTGAACTGCACTTTCTGACCGAAGATTCACCTGCTTCCTGATTCCTTTCTGAAGCCATCCTAATTTACAGCTCAGTGGGCTGTCCTACATCATAATAAATGATCTTTTAAAAAAGGAGAGTGGCCAGAACCGAGACAGATGTGGAAGCAGGAGGAGGACAAGTAGACAGGGCACAGAACGAGGCAAAGGAGAAAGGACAGATAAAGGAAAGGGGAAAAGAAATTGGTTCCCGTGGAGGAAGGGGGAAAAGGAGGGTGCTGGTGACACAAGCCTCTTTCATGCTGTGCGGCTCAGCGCTCACGATGGAACACAGAGCGTGTGCCAGACATGGGGCTGGTGTTACCTTAACTGAGCCATCTGCTCCTTTCTGCAATCTAAGAGGAGGGTATTAAACCCAGTAAAGAAATGATGCATGAACACATTTTGTGTGATATTGGGACAGAATGCACCGGGGAAGACTCTGAAATACTGACCATGTTATTGGTTTCTTAAGAATTCTTGGAAATGTTTGTTTAAAAGAGACTATTTTTTACTACAAACCAAGCAATGGCCTTTTTTAGAACTTGTAAAAGCACAGTTTTTTCTTTCCCTGCATCAAACCTCAAGCAAATGGCTGATGCTTCCAGCTGTTTGAACAGATTGCTGAAGTGCCATTCCGCTCTGGAAACACACTTTCTGATCCAATTAAAATGCAGGAATCAAATTCTCATTTGAAACTTCCAAAAAGAACCACTCAAGAAGAGTAATTGGTTGCTGACAAAAGAAATACCATGAATATTTCATATGTAGTCTTTTGCTCCATTTTAAAGTGGCTTCATTCATTTTAGATAACAGTGACACACTTCTGTTCGTCCATTTTCAGTGAGGCATAATGTATCATCTCAGGCGTCACTGGACTGCAGGGGTCAAGGTTAGGAGTGAATACATTCTCATCGACTTACTATCTTCAACTTCGGAAATATTTGCAACAGTGTGCATTGAATTGCACATAATTAAAAAAGAGACTCCAATGATATATATGGCAGGAGTAGTGTTACATTTATTTATTATACTGTGAATTGGACCTTTTCTGTTACTGAGGACTCTAAGTTTAGTGATTATTGGAAGTTCACTCAACTCAACATTACTTCAGACTGACTGTTGAGGAATCTAAGTAAGTTTTAATGCAAAGTTTCAGCAAGTTAAACAATCCACAAAACCAAAATAAAGAAAATTTATGTATGAAATAATTAACCTACTTAAATATTGAGGTATGTAGCAGGTAATGAAATTCTCACCTGTGTTTCCTGGACAATCTGGTCAACAATAGTCAGCAAAGAATCTGGGAATAAAATGTGAACAATCCATTTTTTCTAAAGAAACAGACCCTAAAGTCCCTCTAGGTGTAATCTTAATAAGACACCTATTAAAGTTTGAACTACAGTTTTTAAATGAACACTTAGTGGGGTAATTAAATTATTTTTTTTATTTTGCCTATTTCCTCATACAGAAATGTATAAAAGCAAAATTTAAAAGACTTTCTAGTAACCAATATGAATAATTCTCAACATAGTATATTATTTTATGCCAAATTTCAACAAGAAAATCAGGTTCCTGTTCATTTTTTTCTGTATAAACATTTTAACTATGTGGTTAATATGGGAAAACGTATCAAGGAAAAAAAAAACATTGCACAGGAGGGAATGTTCTACCATAAGCACCACGCAAATTATAAAATTATCATTTACTGCATTTGTCATTATTCAATATCCGGACTCCAAATAATAGGACGTCTTGAGAAGTAGGCTTCCACTTTTATGCACAATAGTAATGCTTTAAGAGCAAACATTCTGCCTTTCAGTATTCATACGTATTCCAATTGGCTATAAATGTTTCATAGTATTACATAACCCTGAATGGCACTATTCTGCTGCTTTATGTAATAACTGCTTAAGCAATTACTAGCAACACGTGGGGGTGATACAAAAACACACCTGTGCATGTCTAAGGGTGTATGTATAGTCATTGTAAAGGTTCATAGATGACCATGAGGAAAGGAGGACCAATTTAGTTTTGCTTACAAACCTTCAGTACAATATTCATATCCATCTACAGTGGCCTCTGTAGATTACATTTTTCATGGAAGCCATAACAGGACATTCACATTACAAAGAAAAAAAATAATAATTGGATATGTAGAGTCCACATGGTGTTTCACATGTTACATTCTAAAACAATTATTTATTGAACATATTCTGGAGTAGTACCATGATATCGTCATAGAATGTATGTTTGATAAGACTCAATGTGTGAACATTTCCCAATGCAAGTACTTGAACCACCATTTCACTCAGATCAGCCAAGGTACTTTAAATAAAAGGCCTTCATGTTTTGTTTTCCCCAAGTGCATATAAATTTATTTTTAAATTCATAAACATTACCATCAATAATTTGCAAAGGATGAAAGAAATTAGGTTGCAGAGTTGAGAAACTCTACTATCTCAAAACTTCAAGAAAATCAGTTTATATTTAGGGGGCTGGGTAGGGCCATAAATTAGGCCTAACCTGGACAAGTAAGCAAGACCCTATCACAAAATAAAAATTTAAAAAGGGACTGGGGATGTAATTCACTGAAGACGGCCTGGATTCATTCCACAATACCAAAAACTAATAGAAATATTAACAATAATATCATTATAAATATTATAGAGTTTATATTCCATTGTTTTCTGGTAAACAGCAAGTATATTGTATGGGTTTTTCTAGGAGAAATTCCCTGACATGCAGAAATTTCACTATAATTTTAATTTACTAATTAAAAGTCTACTAATTTATATTTGAGAACTAAAATCACTTTAACTGATTAATCTTTTGTTTAAACCTATATGCATATATTGATGGGTAATGTATAGATGTATATGTTTACCAAATCTGTATATTTATTAAATATGAATTAGATTTCAAATTTGAACTTTGAGATAGTTGAATATAATGAGAAAACAATCATACACTGATTATTAACTATACAATTTGATAAAATTGAAGATTTATTAGTATTACTTTAATCAGTTAATGCAACACCCAAATATACTCCCAGATACTTAACACCTGTTACTTTTTATGACACCAAATGTTCATAATTGATTAATCACAGGAATATGTTTACCACTTTTTATATTAAGTAGCTTTCTGTATTGCTAGAACCAATATTGATTATTTAGAATAAATAAATAAATAAGAAATAAGAGACACCTGAAAAGAATTTGCTGTATTCATAAACCCAGTATATATTTACTTAGCATTGAAACAAAATGATCGAGTAATTTGAAAGGTGGAAGTTGACACTACTATAAAAATCCATTTGTTCTTTTTTCTTTATGCAATTTTAATGACATACTTGTTAGCCACACATTAAGTCAGTATAACTAACATAAGGTTAATCATGATGACTATTCTCAACCACAAAGCAGATGAAAATCCGACTTTCCTAACAGCCAGCAATGCCACGGGCTCTTCCCCAGAAGGGCACCTGCCTGCACAGAAGCACTCGTGGTTAAGGTACAGACCTGGGACTGCTCATGGACAAGCAGAAAAACGATGCCAGAAAAAGGAGCAGGCGTCTTGAGCCTCTCCAGCAGGAACAGCTCTTTACTCTGAAAGGTACAGCTGTGCTGCATCCTCACCAAAAACAAAACGAGCTCCTTCCTCTCTGCAGCATTCTTTAAAGACAGGTTTCACTCGCCTTTACATTACTACCCATAGGACTATGTTTGATGTTCACACAATCTTTTTTAACTATGAACTCTAAAGACTTTGTCACTATTTACAGAGAGGATATACCAATGCATAGGAACTGAAATAAACTTTCTAAGTTCTCTTATTTTTATATTTGTAAGTAAAATAGTTTATTTTCAGAAATACAAGCAAATAAAATATTTAAAATGATATTTGAAGTAAGGACTTTGTGTTCTAAATTGAAGGGGGATACTTTACATAAAAGGAAATAAAGGATTCCTACAGACAAATAAATGGAACATATTTAACTTCTTGAACTTCTTAAATGACTGTGAAAAACTGTATATATTTTGCAGAATAGAGTTGTTATGTTTATAGGTTTCTTAGAATGCTTTCAAAAAGACATTCTAAAAATTTTGGTAAGATATACCTATGGAACAATAAAATCAATTGTTTTCAAGCATAAAATAGCATCTTGACTTTTCATCTGTAACTGTTAATGGTTGTAAAAACAGAAAATAAGTTTTCCACAGTATCGATGTTATCAGTTCTTGAATCTATTTAAACTTATTTTTATTGTATTCCAATTTAAATGGCTTTATTTTTGTATCTATATTTGTAGACTAAAATAAAACAATCTTGAAATCAAAGTTAGACTTTTGAGACAGCTTTGGACAATACATTACTCCTTTATGACACACCTCAATACAAAATTTGGTTGTCCAGAACTATGCTAGCACATACTAATTTTTAGAACAATTTTTTTAATTGTATTTTTTTGTGTGTGGTGCCAGGGATCAAACTCAGGACCTTACACTTACCAGGCAAGCACTTATTCCACTGAGCTATATCCCAGGCACCCAGAATGCCTTAAATAAATGCTTATTTAAATATGCTTAACAGCAAACAGAGTATTTCTAAGTTTGTTCTTACATTGAACAAGCTGATAATGTGAAATGACTGAAAATGAAAGAAAAATTATGAAGCACGTGAAACTGGAAATAATGTATCTCTTCTACAGAGTCACTGACCAAACACAGTAGAGCAAAAGTCTCAGATCACACACATATGGCTGCTCAGGGAGAAATACAATAAATCATAAAATGAAAAGAAAAGGACAAAATTTCCTTCATATGATGCTTCATATCCATAGACCCAATCTCCATTCTGCTAATTAAACAAGTTTCTTTTTACCACATTCCCCTCTCTGGTCACATTCACTTATATATCCATCCAATTATTTGTTCATTTAAGCAGCTTTTCTGCTTCTATCCAACATTGCCTGGCTGTGCAAAAATTTTAAGATATAAACAAATGTAATAAACACTTGACCTTTTGATAATTAAATCTGTTTTTGATCCCCTCAATATAATTCTTTTAAAAGGCAGTAAAACAGGCTAGACAGACACTTTTCAGAACTTTTGTTCAAGCATTTAGTTAATGTAGTCTAAAAATAATCTAGTAAAAATAATAAAAATCTAATTTTTTCAATGACTTCAATCCAACAAAATAAAATTCATATGAATAGATGTTATAGAATTTTAAATATTTCTGAGAAATAAAATATTTTAATCAAACATTTTATATGAACACAAGCAGGATATTGATTTGAAAAGCACAAGCAACTGGAAAACACATAATAAGTTAACTGGTAGCTTCTAGCAATTATAAGCTGTTGTCTATGTCATGTGATTTCAAAGGCTCTTTCTCTTTCATAATTTTATAAATCCCTTGGGAATGCATTTCTTTAAGACTTGGCATCTTTTTCAAGATGTTGTAATATTATTTTGATATTCCTAGGAAGGAGAGGAGTAGTATTCTCATGCCAATCAACACGAGGTATGAAATTAAGCAATTGGTGCCAATTTAATATATACTTGGAAGCTGGGCTTGGTTGTGCAATCTCAACAATCAGGAACCTGAAACAGGAGAAATAATATATGTTCAAGACCAGCGTGGGTTACACAATGAGTTCAAACCCAGCCTTAGCTCTTTAGTGAGACACAGTATCAATGACTTCCCTTAAAATATGTAAGTATGGGGTGTGTGTGTGTGTGTGTGTGTGTGTGTGTGTGTGTGTGTTTGGAATAAGATCATTATCACATTAATAATTCTGAAAATACATTTCACTCTGTGAAGTGCTTTCAATTTCAGATACTCCTGCCACAACTGAGATCTTATTTATTCTTCAACACTATATAATACATGAGCAATGAAATGATTAACTTAGAAAGTGTGAAAGGCTAAGTTTTCAGAAAAGGATGAAAAGCGGGGCAGGAAAGGGGGTCAGAGGGGCTTGAATTACATGAATAATCTCTTGGATAAGCTTTTTTAAGACTTGTAGTAAAGTTACTTCTAACTTGTTCAAAACTTAGCCCTTATTAAAATACATTTTGGATAAACATTGTGTATTTGTCAAGTTCAAATTAATTTGAATTTTCTATGTCCTCAGCAAACAGAAATTAAACTGTCTTGATTTGAGTTTCTACACTTTTTTTTTGAAGGGTTTTCCAGGGGATCTGAAAGGATCAACAAACTTTTCCCATGTGTTTCACTTACTTCCAAGAGTAAATGACACATGTACAGAATTCATTTATTGTATTATGGCTAACATACCATATTACTCTATGTCATGTAATGAATCTGAGTTCTCACATGAATGGTAGCCTTGAATCAAAATGAAAACAAAACAAAACACAAAACACAACCTTCAGGATAACACCACTTATGGCTTGATTGTACCCTCATGTACCATAAACTACCTTAAGTTAGTATATAATTATATTTTTCAACCAGTAGATAGGAATATTTATAGAATTGGGTTGCAGTGATATTCCATGAATATTCTAGTATCAATGAACACTATTTTAAGAATAATTATAAAATATTTTAAATGGTATCTTCCCACTAAGCTAAATGATCTCTGATTAAATTCATCAAAGTCTTTGGTTAAAATAATAAACACATTTACTTTAAGAGAAAAGCATTCAAATGTAGAATTTTAACACAGATGGGAAAAACACTATCTGGTTAATGAGCAATGACTTTATACTCCTATAAATGTGAGGAAAGCTCCATTAGAAGATTTTTATTTCACTTGGTGATAAAAATAAACACCCTTTTGATAAAGTAAGTCTTATATCTTTTCTTCCTCTTTAACTTGCATTAAGAAAATATAAAATACACTCATTTGACAAACTTGTTCAATGAATACAAATATCTTTATATACTCATGAAGATGCATATGAAATGTATGATGATTCAAATCTGATCATGTTTTTTTGATAAATACAAAATGAGCTTTATTTCATTTTCTTTTGCAATTAAAAACTGGTGCCACGGAAAAGAAATATATTAGAACCATTAAGGCACCAAAACTAAAAATACTATTTAGAAAGGTGCTTAATTTTATCTTTATCTGAGTATCTTAATAGAATACTTTATTTTAAATAACCTATCAGAGTTTTCTGCACCACACAGCTGCCACTGAAAGACAATATACTGTCTACTTGCTGAAAAATACCAATTATCCTTAAATGGTCTTTTGAAAATTTGGAATAATTATCACTTTTAGGGTGGGCTTTTTTTCTGTGAGAGCTTCCATTTCGTGACTTGCCTTTGCAGAACCTGAAATCCAGTCTTTTATCCCATACATTTTTTAACTTTGTGTGCCTTAATCCATTTTATCCACGTTACCTTCATATTTACATATATAGATATATGTGTGTACATATATCAACTCTACTCTAGGTGGTGTATGCATAACCTGAGCTCCATTAGCCATGTACCAGAGAGCCAAGACTAGAACTCCAAATTTCAAATTCTTATGTGAATTTTCAAAATAATTTTTCATTAAAAAAGAATTAACAGATTACAGAGCACTTTCCAATATCCGTTCAGAATTTGAAAGAGTTGCTTTTTCACTATGGCCATCTGAACTCTTGGACTGAATTAACAAGCCACTCAGAGACATGCTTCTTTTAGGAAAGAGTCCACACTTGTTCGAAGAGTTAACATAACAATAGTATTCCTCTACTTCTCCATGCATGGAGTACCTGTGTCTGCACCTCGATCTTTCTGCGGGCACAGTGAGAAACTTACTTGGCTTGGTATGTGCTCGTTTAGATGTGGGCCCCTCTGTGTCAGAATCAGGAGGTTGGCTAGCCAACTGCAATGCAGTTGAGTTGTTCCTGTTAGTGTTTTGGGACTCAACATTGGTGAGAGCTTCACTCTGTGCTTCAGCGCTTGGCTTTGTGCCAGTCTTTCTTTTCTGCTTTTGGGATGCAGGCGTGCTTGAAGTCCAGCTAGGAGGCAAAGCAGAGGTAGTGGTAGAAGAGTCCTGACTCGAACACGTTTCTGAAGATTGAGTGACATTGTCACTGGTAACTTTACAGCACTGGGCGTTCTCCTCGTGTCCCACGGCTTGTTTGGACATGGACTGGGGCAGTGCTATGCTACAGCCTTGCATCTGAGCCCCGTTAGTCTGAGAATAAACGTTGCTAACCTTGGTGACCTTGTGTTGCCCATTATTGTTACAGACCTTATATCGGATCATTAGAATGATGATGAAAACCAGCACAGACGCAACGATGATGCCACCAATGATTATAATCATGGTGCCTCCCAGAAACTGGGACTGCATGAAATGGCACCGGACATAATCCTGCTCCGTAGTAAACTGGATACAGCCCACAACTCTCGTGGCAGTGAGGGACGTAATGCCATCATCATATATGGCCAACACACACAAGTCATACATAGTTCCAGCTGCCAGGTTGTTGACCAGGAAAGTTTTGCTTGTAGGAGGTATCATTCTGTGGGACAATAGAATGGTGTTAATATTTAATATAAAACAAAAATGTATACATAGACAGTCATTATGACTTCAGTTCTATCTCACTTCAGTGCTCATTAAGATGAGCATATTTATACCTGACATGAGATATGGAAAAATGATCTAATCTTATATTTACCCAGTTAAAATAGCTACAAGTCATTGTTAGAGTCCAGGTTCTATTAGCGGTGCCTGCATGGCTCCTTGACAAGCTTACTAATTACATTGCTTGGCAAAGCAGAACTCCTAATAAAAGCCACCGCCAAAAAATCATTTATGACAAATTGCTTTTGAAAGGTGTGACTGTGACATTATCTGACTACTAAGCAAATCCATTTAGCACTTACAACACCTCTGTGACTAAAAGCCAATTTGACAAAAGAGAAAACACTGACAATCACATTAGAAACCAGGATGCAAATGTATTTCAGGGCATTTATTTTCCAAATCAGAAATAAGCTGCTATGGTATGGTACTCACAAAATCTATTTTTAAGAACAAAGGTGATTACAAAAATTAAAGTAATTTATGTATAGATCTTATTGTTTTTATATACTTTGGTCCCTTATATATTTAATCCATAAATAAGAGTGATATAAAATTATGAGCAATATCCTAGCAATAAGAAGAAGGCAAGGCTGTTGACCAGTATAGATCTTTCATCCCAGAGTATAGATCTCTCCTTGTGTCCTGAAAAAAATCACATTAAAATACAGTTTCTAAAGTTTCATAAGAACTTATAGACATATCTAAAACTACTACATTGTAAAAGATTTTGTGAATGCTTTCTTCCCAGTAAGATTTGTTTTCCGATGTAACCAAATATAACCTGATTTCAAAACTTTTTATTACTAATTTGTGACACAATCTAAACAATTTTTTAAAATATATTAGAAAATTCTCTAGCCAAAGTGTATATTCATGATGGAAATCACCAATATTATTAAATATAATGCATGACAAACATTGGACATTTATGTACAATAACATGTAGCCTAGAACGATCTCCTGATACAGGCATTACTACTATTTTGCAAAAGAGAATCATTAGGTCGGAGGATTCAAGCAATTTCATCGGGTCACACAGAATTTACTTATCCCGCAGCATTAAACCTTGGAATTGAGAACATAATTGATTTTACAGAACTACTAATAATATAGAGTGTTCAGCAAGTATACTAAGTGTGGGGGGCTGCAGCTACACCTATCACTGACAATTGTTTCCGTCGCCCCTCAATTATTGAAGAGCTCAGTGACACAAGAGCAGACTACTAGATGCCAGTTCATGAGTATCAGGTTCTGTATCCACACATTTTAGTAATTAATGGTTTATTAGAAACCGCTTAAGCTTTTCTTGGAAGAATCAGAAAATTAATACTCAACCAAGTAGAACATTTTCCAGGACTGAGCATATGACTAGCTGGATAGTTGTGCTATTTTCTGTACACTAGTCCACACTTATGTTTCAAATGTACTCTCATTTCCATGCACAAAGGAAAAACCACATTACCCTCAAGAATGTGTATATTTAAGAACGTACAAGCTCTGATATCTAAAAAGCTTAAAAAGAAACAAAAACTTACTTTAAAATCACAATTTTATATCCTTTCTTATAGATAATAATAGCCTATATAACGAATGAAGTTATATCCGAGTAAAAATTGTGTATCTTCTATTGAAAATTGGAGAAGATGTGACTATAAATCAATGAGGCTGAAATTTAGAAAAACATACCAGAAATTCATTCGCAGATGCAAATTCTTCATCATTGTCCTTACTTTCACTGCTCCAAATATTTACAAACTCTCTCTTTAGAACTGTCTTAGGAACGAATAAAGAGGAGACAACACACGCACATAGCTCAGTCGCACAAGGAATCAGTCTCATTATTTTATAGTTACATCCTATTCTTGACCAAAAATGGCAAGACCTATCTTGATCACCCACCTTATTCTCAAGACTTGGCTCCAAATGGCTTTTGCTTGTTTCCAAAATTGAAATTCACCCTCAAAAGACGAAGATTTGCCACCAATGAGGATATTCAAAATAGTATGACGAAGTTTCTAAAGATAATTCCAAAAGTGCTTAGAGCAATGTCAGCATCATTGGGACAATGGAATAGCCTCCCAACGTGACTTCCTTGAAGGAAAGAACACTCATGTGGATGCGTAAGTTCTGGTATGTTTTTGAATTTTTAAATTCAATCAATCTTATGCTCTGATAGTCACATCTTTCAGATGAGGTAAGATAATAAGCATAATATTAAATATAAGTTTGAGCTCTTTAAAGACAACACCATTCAAGATAGTTCCCCATACATATTCACCAACTTTAACAAGCCTTACATTATGCACTTTGAAATTGTCATATCATAAAATAGCATGGAATAAGATTCCCTATTAAAAATAAATGGTACATTAATTAACTCTACACTTAGAACACGGCAAGTGTGTCCAGTTGCTCCCTATTCCTTACCTGTAAACAAGGGTGTCATCGTAAGTACCATTGTACTGGATTTGAAACATACGTATTCCAGGAATATTTCTTTGAAAATTAAATTTAAGTAGTGCTGTCGACGTAGTTGCTTCTGCCACCACAATTTTATCCTGACTCATTTTAGTATCACCATTACTACTGCTTGCATTTGAGCCCGACTTTGTAGAAGTTGAGATATCTGAAGATCCAGGATCCGGCTCATGGATATGGTTTGTACTGTTTAATAGGTGAGGGAGCTTAATTATATGAAGGTCCACCGATTGCGTTGCTTCCCCAGCAGGATTGGAAGCAATACAGGTAAAAGCGCCTGTGTCTTTCACAGTCGTTATAAGAATGTCAAGTGTGCCGTTATCGTACACCAGCGATCTCGTTGCGTTTGAAATCAGCTTTCCTTCAGGTGAAATCCAATGAATTGCAGGCTCCGGGTCTCCCCGAGCTTTGCACCTCAGGGTTGCCCTTTGGCCTTCCAGGACTCTCATCTCATGCGTGTGGCGAGTAATGAGGGGTGGCTCACACAAAAATTCTTCCTCAGGAATTGACCAGAAATAGCGGCCGGTTAAAAGCGCAGGAGAAGCACAGGTCTCCAGGTCATCTTCTCGGGATAGGCGCCTCAGCCACAGCAATTCGCAGTTGCAGTGCAAGGGATTGCCACCAAAACTCAATGCAAAAGTCGATGGGCTTATGATTCCTGAGGTTGCTAAGACCTGAGCTCGCTGAAAGAGAGGGTCAGGCGGTAGCTTCTGCAGTTTATTTGATGTCACATCTAGCCGCGTCATCTTGTGCAAGTGGGAGAAAGTCCCTTTAGGAATGTTATCGATCATATTGTGATCTAAACTAAGAGTATGCAAGCTAACCATCTTCTCAACAGCATCCCAAGGAATTGTTTCTAGATTGTTATAGGACAAATCCAGCTCTTCAAGGGCAAACACATCATCGAATGCTGTAGAAGAAATTAAAGTCAGCTGATTGTTGTTCAATATCAAATGATGAAGGTTCGAAAGCCCACTGAACATATCATTTGTAATTTTAGTCAATCTGTTGCTATTCAAATGCAAAGCCCTCAAATTGCGTAGATCAGCAAAAGCATGAGGTGTAATGAAACTTATTGTGTTCCTTGATAGAGTCAGATCTACCAAGCTGGTCATGTTGGCGAAATCTTTCCTTTTGATATTTGTAACAAAATTGTCTGCCAACCGCAGTTCCACAGTTCTTCTGTCAATGTTTGGTGGAACAAATAGAAGCCCTTTCTTGGCACAAAGGGTTGCAAGATTAGGAGACAATATTTGACAGACACAACGCTTTGGACAGATCTGAGCTCTCACTGCTATGCCAATGAAAAACAGATAGAAAAGAAATTTTTCCATTGTAGATCAAATTTAAGAGCCTGAAAGAGAAGATACAAAATGCAATGTCAGCATCAAATCATTCATTAAATATTCGTATTCCCACTAGTATAGTACTTTAATGCAAATTTGACCTCAGAAAAGATTACATTTCGTTACTGAACAAGTAAGTCCTAAATAGTCCTAGTCTGTATGAACATTTGTAATGGAAGGTAAAGATGAATAACATAAAATTCACTATATTATACAATTTAAAATGAAAAGAGAAGTACAAATAAGAAAAACAAGCCAAAGAGTACAATAGTTATTTAAATTAAGTTATAAATTAAGTGTGAGCTTTGAAATAGGCCCACCGTTCTTTAGGGGTGCACAAGACAGAGGGATTCTCTCCAACAGGAGAGCTGGGATTTCAGGAAAATGCCCCGAATACTAAAAGGCCTCTTTTACTTAAGTTTGAAACATTAAGCTCCTATTTAAGAATTTGCAAGTAATTCATTTCAATAACATAAATCTATACAATAAAAGATAATACATGCCACTTAATAAAAAAATTCACATACTATTAAAGGTAATTACTTAGCGATGAAATTTTATTCAGACAAGCAGTCATACATACATGGTTCAAATTTCCTATGCTAACTGCAAGTACAAGATCTTTCTCCCAAAAATAAAATGATTGAAAATTTGCCACAAATTCTCTAAATATTAGAATATTTTACTAACTATTTCTGTGGATTTTTAAAAGATAATTTATTCTTATCTTTTAAAGATAATTTAGGATTATCAAAATCTTCAATAGTGAATCTGAAATGATGTATGCAGTTTCTCTTTTCTTAAAATTTCAATGATTCTTAATTCTTTCAAGTATTACTTAGAAAACTAAATACTTTGGGAAGTTTATTTTCTATTTTGAACTTGAGAATATGCTATTGAAATTAATCTCCAAAAATAAAAATGACAACATCAATATGATTAAAGGTTATGTACATTCCATGAAGTTTTGAACACCATTAGGGAAAACAACTGTAGAAAATATCTCCATTATTAGATTAAGTATAAGCAGAGAATATAGAATAATTATAGAAATACTGTACAGTTTTATAATGCATCATCTTGCCTTTGAATTATTTTACCACATTAGGAAGAATTACTTTCACAAATAGCCTCTTCCGTTCATGATAGAAAATATCAAAATGGTCTTCCCACAATAAGTAGTCAAAAATGTACAAAAAAATAGTCTTCACGAGTTGGAAAGAAGCATAGCACTGCAATTCTAGAGAAAGTGAATTTAAATGAGCTATACAATTTCAGGAGATAGTTTTCAATCAGAGCACAAGGAAAGGAAACCTGGAAAATCAGGAGCAAATGAAAGAGGCACGTTAGAATGCGGGGTGGGGTCTCTGCAGCTGCCCGGGAGAACATAAGGGAGGAGAAAGCAAACCCAAACAAACAAATGATGACTTGGTAGTACAGGTAACTGCAAAGGGGCATTAGATACTAAGTTTAAACCTATTTAAAAAATAAGAGGGTGTCATAACGATGCACAAATCCCAGTGACCTGTGGAGAGGTATTAATAAATCAAACATGATATAAAGGAGTATCAGAAGATGATAGGGTGACAAACAAAGGCAATTTTCTAAATGTGATTTAAAAAGCTTATAAATATTAGGTCAACAACAACAAAAAATCATTATGATATACCATAATCAAATTGCATATAAAAAGAAAAACAAAACAAAAAACCTTAGATAGAGGCCCGAGGAGATAGCTCAGTAGAATAAATGCTTCCCTCGCAAGTGCAAGAGCCTGAGTTCAATCCCCAGTTCTGCAAACAAAACAAAAAAACAAACAAAAACTTTAGAGTTGGGGCTGTGTGGTGATAGTTCAGCGGTCTCAGCGCCTGCCTGGAAAGTATAAGGACCGGAGTTCAATGCCTGCTGTGCTGCCCACTGAAGCCAGGTGTGGTGGCAAACACCTGTAATCTTAACACTGGGGAGGTTGAGACAGGAGACTCTCCACCAGTCTGGACTGTGTAGTGAGACTCATTACCCAATAAATAAATACATTAAAAAATACCTTAGAGTCAGTCACAAAAATAAATCAGAGTATAAGGTAAATTGAACAAAATGAAAGCAAATATTGACTACTTAGTGACTCTTTTTCTTAAAAAAGCAAAATAGAAGATAATGACTAGGGCTGCGGAGATGGCTCAGTAGAATAAGCGCTTGCCTGGCAAGTACAAGGGCCTGAGTTCAATCCCTAGTTCCATAAAAAAAAATAATAATAATGAAAGCATCTTTAAATCACTAAAAACTCAATGGAAAACATTTCAATTCAGATGATGTTTTATTTTATTTATATTTTATGAGCAGAATATTTTTATTGAGGAAAAGAAAGCTTCTGTCTGAGAGGGACAGAAGGTGGACCCTGAGTGAGTGGTCCCCCCGATGATGTTTTATATGAGATGAAAAGAATTACAGAGTTGGAAAACTGAGAATTTCACTGCTAGAGCAGTGCAACAAAATGCAAAGGATATTCTCTTTAGATTTAAAGCAAGCTATGTCAGGCGGGAAACACTTGAATCTTTATACACAGCTGAAGAAAAGGAGAAATAATATCTCTGTGGCTAAGTGGAAACTACTTTATTTGTGTTACATATTAAAATATTTACAATTAGTGTCTGTGGCATTTCCCAGTATGATACATCACAAGAAACTATCATTTTCATCTTAACAGCCAAAATAAGATTGATACAGCACAAATTATATTTCAAAACAATATACAGCATTGCACTTCTGTGACTGCGAAGTAAAGTAGCTAAGTTCCAGAAGCACAGTTCTTGATAAAAGGAAAGAGATGCAGAACTATTACCCATCTCTTCCACAAAAGCAGAGCGTCCTACCTAACATAAAGTGGGATTAAAGTCTTGCTACATAACTAGGACATTTCAGAGTCATGAGTTCACTGGCAGAGCAACACAAAATCGACAGAAGCCCCCAAAACACGGCGACAAAGTGTCTGCCTCCATCTTGCTCCACACGTGCTTCATTCAATCACAGGGATGCTTGCCAGAGGAATGGATTTCTATATTACAAACATATATATTTTTTAATATAGAGAAGGAAGAACAGTAGAAAAATTGGAGTCACAAAGGGCAAGAGAAGGAAATACTTTAGGAAATCCTGTGTTGCAGGGAGACAAGCAGGAAAAGCAGAAGAGATGAAAAGAAATGTCACTGGGAGAAGACGGGGGAGTGGTGAAGTCGCGCCCCCATCACACAGATATTTGTTGCTTGCATGCAGAGCATTGCTGGGGTGGTGCCCAGCAGCTGGGAAGGCCTCGTAGATGAAGCGTCCACCTTCAGGGATTGTGAAGGAGCTGCAGCCCAACATAGAGCGAGCGTGAAGACAGACAGAAAGGAAAGCTACTCCATTACATATGGAAGAATAACCATGGGATCTCCAACTGAACTTGCACAAAGTCAAAAGAAAATAGAACACTACACTTAAAATTCATAAGGAAAAATCTCTAGCCTGGAATTTTATATTCAGTGAATTGCAAGGAGCATAAAATTACTCACAAATAGAAAAAAGTCTAAGAGAAATTAATCTTAGTTATTTTCCACAGCATAGAAAGAAAGAAGTTTAAAATTACATAAGAAACAGAGATAAAAAACATACTGCTGAGAATATATAAATTCTATGCCAAAATGATAGATGAAATGTTAAAATTTAACAATATTTATAAACAGAAAGAAAAGGCAGTTAAAGTCATATGTTATTAGTATGCCTGAAACAACCACATCTATTCATCAAATATTTTACATGACATTTTCAAAATATAGATATAGAATATTAATATAAATAAATGTATAAACATATAATAAATATACATATATAACAAATATTAATATACTAATTTTATAGATATATTATAAATATAAGTATATTAATATTTATAAATATATAATGATTACAAATATAAATACAAAATGTGAAATTTTAGAAAACTGTATCACAAAACACTGATTATAAAAATTGCCATCATTGTTAAAAATTAAAATGAGGCAAAGGTCAGAGATCCACATGAGCATTTCATGAAGAAAGGTTACTCCATTCAGCAGGAAATCACAAAATTTTTTTACATGCCTTGTAACACAGAGCTTCAATAAATGTTGAACACAATCCAATAGAACTAAAGGAAGATGTTCCTTTAAATACACAATGACAATAAGTAATATGAGTTCTTATTTCTATTAATTGGTAATTGAAGCTAATCCAAGTAGAATAATAGGTACAAATATCTGGAAGGCAGCTATGCTCACCACTATACCACCACCTCCAATATCTGAATAGCACGGTAACACTATCTACCAACCCTGCCTAGTTTACGATTACCGACAGCAATCTCAAAAACATTGAATTCACAATTCTTTCCTGGTGTTCTTAGAACATGAGCAATAATGGTCCTTAAAATATGTAAAGCAAATCAAACAAAACATAGTTTTAGGTCACATTATACTTTATTATAAATTGATGAATCAAAAATAAAATATTACATCTTCTCAGTGCTTAAAATTTATAAGGATCAAAGACAAAAATCACAAGATGAATAGGGTCAATATCTTGAACAAATGAAGATGGAGACAAAGTAGAACACAATTTTTGGTAGGCCTGATGGTAGAGCAAAGTAAAACCAACAAAAGCCCCCAAAAACATGGTAGTAGGAAGAATTATAGTTTTAAAAATTATCTATTTTGAAACCTAAAATGTTACATTAAAAAATTAGGGCCAAAGTAAATAGAAGAAAATAAGTAAAGTAAGCACAGATAAATCAGACAGAAATCAGAAAAAAGTACACAGTCAATAGTTGGCATAAATAAAATATTGGTGCACTTGCCTGGCAAGCACAGGGTCTTGAGTTCAATCCCCAGTACCACAAAAATTTTTAAAAAGATTTAAAAAAGGCAATTTTGACCCAAATCTGAAGACTTATTGAGAGGGCTGGAGAGATAGCTCCATGTTTATTAGATTACAATCC